TCATTATTTCCGGTTACTACTTTTGAATTTAAGAAAAATTAGACAGTCAGAAGTTAATAGCTGCGTATGACTGCATATTGTACTCTATATCAGGGATGGATAAGATGATTGAAACGGGAAAAGGTGAGGTAACAATCACAAATGATGGCGCAACGATTCTAAAACAAATGAGTGTCATACATCCTGCAGCAAAAATGGTGAAACTTTTGTATAAACTATTAGAAAATCTTCAGAATGCAATTGTCTCATCTTTTATTCCTTAGGGATTTCCAAAACTGTTTTTCATATTATCAGTGGGGGGTAAAGTAATTAGTCGAGTTAATCGAGTTAAAATTGATTGAAAAATCGAAATATTCCGAGACTGTTCGTTTGAATTTCGTAAGATCATGACTGACAGCTAGTTATCTTGTCGACATACTATAAGGTACTATTCTGCTTATTTGTTAATTACTGTCGTCACAAATAATTTAGTATGTAATTATGATAAATCAGTAAGAAAAAAATTAGTTTTTAGCTTGTCGAACTATCGAAAGCTCAGGATATTGAAGCTGGTGATGGAACTACAACTGTAGTTGTTATTGCTGGCGCACTGCTTGATGGGGCAGAGAAACTGTTAAACAAAGGTAATTTAATTGTATACTAATATAGTTCTGGAAACAAAGAAAGCGAAAGAAAGGAAATAGTTTGAAAATGGGTAGATGAAAAAATTTTTCTTTTCTCAGGCTTGAGGTGATGTTAAGGACGAACGGCAGTGTTAAGCTATTAAATTTAGGAATCCATCCGACTACGATTTCGGAGAGTTTCCAACGTGCCTCAGTACAGGCTGAAAAAATCTTGGAATCAATGGCTTCACCTGTCGATCTCGACAACGATGATCAACTGGCAAAAATTGCCACAACTAGTTTGAATTCTAAAGTAATTTCCTGTATTCATTAATTCTTATTTTTTGTTTCCATGATTGTAAAGAAAAAAAAAGTCGAAATAGAATAAAGCCGGAAATTATAATTGTGGAGTGCCATTACTATTTTAGATGATTTTATCATTTTTTTCTAGAAAATGTAGTGGAGCTCCGTTTTCATTTAGTTTAGTGGGTTAGGATGTAGTGATTCTTATCAAGAAACTTGAAAAGATAACTTATTTCTTATTGCTTATTGGTAATTCTTGTTATTTTATTTTCTAAAATGGTCTTATCGTTTAGGTTGTATCTCAACACTCATGGTTGCTTGCACCTATGGCAGTGAATGCTGTTAAAAAAGTAACTTGCTCTTCAATTTGACGAAATTCGTTTAAAATAATTTTTTTTTTTTTGAAAACATTGTTGTTTGGTGTTTGTTCATATATAAAATTCTGCAAATTCAGATTATCAGTGCCGATGATAATAATGTTGATTTACGAATGATTAAAATCGTGAAGAAAGTGGGCGAAACTGTTGAAGAATCTCGTTTGGTAGATGGCGCACTTATTGATCAGCGTTCCATGGGACGTGGTGGTCCAACTCGTGTTGAAAAAGCTCAGATTGGACTAATTCAGTTCCAGCTTAGTCCACCGAAAACTGATGTATGTTTTCTTCCGCATGTGTTTAAATAATTTGTTGTGGTTTCTACCTTACTGCTTGCTCTTTAATTTGTTGACTTATTGCTGACAATCATTTCAGATGGAAAATCAAGTGATCTTGTCCGATTACACTCAAATGGATCGAGCTTTAAAGGAAGAGCGGACATACTTGCTTGATCTGTGTAAGCAAATTAAAAAAGCAGGATGTAATGTTTTGCTTATACAGAAAAGCATTCTCAGGTATTTTGAAATTTTTTCTTGTATGGGATAAAATTACGATATCTTGTCAAAAAAAAAAAAAATGCATTCGATAGCAGAAAGACTGAAAAGCTTTTCTTTTTTGCGTCTGTTTCTTATAGTGAAGGTAGTTTTGACAGTTGGTGTGAATAGAGTTCTTGACTAGTCCATGTCAGTCACGGTTGTGTAAGGAAGTTAAGTGGTATATATATATCTTGACTTTGATTACTTTTTCGAGTGTTACCTTTACTACTTATTGAAGAGACGCGGTAAATGAGATGTCCTTACATTTTTTGGCGAAAATGAAGATAATGGTAGTGAAAGATATCGAAAGAGAAGATATCGAGTTTTACTCGCGCATTTTGGGTTGTCGTCCCATTGCATCAATCGATCATTTTGTACCCGAAGCACTAGGTTCTGCAGACCTTGTTGAACAGATTTCGACAGGAGGAGATGGAAAAATTATTCAAGTAAAATATTTTCATATTTGGTTTAATTCTTATTTTTAGGATATGACAGCAGGATGAAGTCCTTTTATGTATCATTTTGTTTGTCAGTGCTCACTGCTGCTTGAAGAATGAAATATAAACTATGTATTTGAAGCAAAGAATTAAATCGTTTTTTAGGTGACTGGTGTGCAAAACCCGGGTCAAGCTGTTTCAGTTTTGATTCGTGGTTCTAACAAATTAGTATTGGAAGAAGCAGAACGATCAATTCATGATGCGCTTTGCGTTATACGATGTTTGGTAAAGAAGAGAGCTCTTCTTCCTGGTTTGTCAAAATATTTCAAAATATTTCGAAATCATTTTTCATTAATTTTATTTTTAACCAGTAATTTTTGTGTTGTCTAAACGCAAAATGTTTCGATTATAACAGTCCATGTAGTGCTGGTAGACATATGCAATCCGTAACTATAATACAACAGATTATGTTTGTTGGTTTTTTCTAACTGTTCTGCTTTAGGCGGTGGCGCACCTGAAATGGAGGTGGCAGTGCAGCTGCGCCAGTTAGCACAGGAAAGATCTGGTGCTGAGCAATACTGTTGGAAAGTTCGTTTTACTATCTTTATTTTTCACAAAATTTTCTAATTTGTAGAAAGTTTTCCTACACTACAAATATACTAATAATTTGGATTTGCGAAATATTTTTTATAGTTTCCGTACAAAATAAGTGATAAAGTTTTCTATTATACTTTATTAATTTCTTTTAAGGCTTTTGCGGATGCTCTGGAGCAGGTTCCGTATACATTGGCCGAAAATGCTGGTTTGAATCCGATAGCGACGGTTACTGAGTTACGCGCTCAGCATGCAAATGGTAAAAAGAATCACGGAGTAAATGTTCGCAAGGTTAATTTACTAATGTGTTTGTTAGAATAATTTTTATTCTTTTCTATATCATTCATAAACTAACTGTACCAAGCAGCTTATCGCTTTTCAGGGTTATGTTACTGATATCAGAGAAGAAAATGTGTTGCAACCGCTTCTGGTATCATCTTCAGCAATCAAGCAAGCTGCTGAATGTGTTCGCTCTATTCTTAAAATTGATGATATCGTAAGTTTGTTATTTTGTCGAATAGTTTTTACAAACATTTTATGAATATGTAGTTCGCATTCAAATCCTCGTGTACTGTTCGATACATATGAGTTTTAGTTTTGAAAATGAAAAAGTAAGTCATACTAAAATATATTCTGAATATTTTGTTGCAGAATCATTCTTTTTTTTCTGTAATGGCTATTGGTGGTATTTAAGTAGACCATTATTTAATTAATTAACAAAATTTATGTTGCAGGTGGTAGCTGTTCGCTAATAACATATGCATCAGTGTTCTCCTCCGTATTTACTTGGTAATATCAAATTGTTGTTTTTTGTTTCTTTCAATTCACTCTTTCCCTGGTATCAATGCATTTTGGAATAAACAATGAAGCATATTCCTGAAAAATTGAGAAATGAAATTTCGAAGTTTTATCAGTGAGGAGGAACCATTTTATCAAATGCTTTGTTTTCCATTGTGTTACACTTTCGATAAACGTTATAAGAAAAGAAAAAGTGGAGTTGTTCTGCTTAAAAAAAAAAATAAGTCCCAGCAAATATTTATAAAGTTTGTCTTCATTCTTTTCTCCCTCACCAAAGACCCTAGCTGTTATTTCCATTTTTCGTTTAAAAGTTTTGTGGATGAATTGAACAAGAAGATAAAGTTTACCAATGAGAAATTTGAACGCTATGAACTGAAAGCAATAGCCATACCGATATTTTTTTTAGTTCCTTATCAATCAAATACGAGTCACCTTTTATTATAAAGTTAATAAAGATTCTAGTTTACTTAAAGTCCGTTAATTGCTATTTTTAAAAACATAATGTTTACTATACTAGTGTTTTTGGTTTCCAGCTTTTTCATCATGCAAGATGCTGAAGCTAAACTTAAAGTGAAGCTTAGTAAAAGACACATACTTCCTGGTGCTATAGTAAACAATGTGTTTTAAAAATAGCAATTAACGAACTTTAAGTAAACTAGAATCTTTACTAACCTTGTAGCGAAGGATGACTCGTATTTGATTGATAAGGAACTAAAAAACTTTATAATAAACTAAAAAACCTTATAACAGACTATTAGTAATGTAATCTTCATGGGATGACATATGACAAAAGCTTCAAGCTGATGAGAAATTCTAATTTTGAAATAAAATATTAATTGTAAACAGCAGCCGAATAATGTAATGTTTGTGAGTGAAAAAGGTGAGAGACAACTCATTTGTTATCAAAAAAAGAGAAATAAATTATTGGAAAGTATCACCGCTTATTAATATTATTGTATCCATTTCATTAGTTTTGGAAACAATTTCAAATGCACTTTTTTTCGAACTCAAATACTTTGCGAATTGTTAAGGAAAACTAAAACTCTAGATATGTTATTTGAGAAGAAATATAATTGAGTAAAATGATATGTATTGAATAATAAACGGTTTTCTTTTCTTTTTTTTTTTTTTTTTTTTTCAAACTGATAATTTCGAGATTGATTTACTTTTAGGATTTATTTTCTAAGTTGAAATTTTCTCTGATTGATGTGTAATATGAGAATTAATTATAATAGCACGAAATATTTTAAATTTATAAATTTACAATTATTGTAAAAATTACAATCGAAAATAGTTATAATGATTTTTTTTTTTTTTTTTTAAATTAGACAGAAATAACATAAAATTTTCATCCATTTATCCTTTATATGCAACCTTATCAATATTCTCCATTTCATGACAACGTTGTAAATATCCATTGAAATTTCCATCTATTTTTGATTCAGCTGAATGTGTCCTTTCTAAAAATTAAACATTTAATTTTATTGCTATTTTTTTTTTTGCCTTGAAAATAATATTATTAATAGAAAATTTCTTTTTCTTTTAAAAAAAAAACAAAAAAACAAAACTAATCATAGCAATAAGGATAGTTTGATATTTGTGTGATTTTTTTGATTGGTAATATTTTTAGTTAAAATAAATAAATAATCAAAATGAAAATATTTGAGATTTCATTTCATACCAAAAAAGAGAAAAAAAAATCAATTTCATCTCATTGTGAAGTTATTTGATTACATAACTTTCCATTGTGTTTCATTTCTAAACTACTGTTTATTTAGCCACTAAAAAAAAATTTTTATATAAAAGTAAATTAAATATATAATAAAAAAAAATAAGTCTATAGTAAAATTTAAGATATACATACATTAAATATGTGATGTTATAGAAGTAAAGTAATAGTTATGTTTATAAAATTATTATAAATTCGTATAGCTAAAGATAGAGTGAAAAATTAATATCTGTTTGATGATAATTAAATTATAAAATTTAAATTTTTATAAAATGCATTAATTACCTAAAAATGCATTATTATTATCCATCCTTGGTGTACCAATTTCCACTGTAGATTGTATTGATAATTTTGGAGCAATTACTTCATTTTCTTCATAATTTCCTATTAGACAGAAAAAAAAAAATTTAATATTTAAAAAAAAAAAAAAAAAACTAAAAAGGGAATAAATTGAAGGAGGAAAATTTATGCAAAAATATGTAATTTTGGAAAAAAAAAAGGAAAATTTTGAAAACATTTGCAAATTAAATTAAATTAAAAAATAATTTATAATTGATAATCTAAAAAAGATTTACTGTTCATCGTTTCCTTTTTTTTTTTTTTCATCTTTTTTCATACTATAAATTTATTATTTTCCAAAAAAAAATGGTACCAGATGATATTTGTTCAATAATTTTTTGTTCGTTATAAATTTCCATCCAATGACTTTCCGTATCTTCATTGGCACAATTCTGATAAAATTTTGTTGCATTAAGCATTTCGGTTGAACCAGCTTCAAAAATTTCAATTTAAAAATATCAATTAAAAAAAATTAATTAAAAATTCAACATTAATTATTCCAATCAGCAAACTTAACGAATAACTACTCTATATTATTTATTTTAATCAATAAACATAATTAATCATACATTAATTATTTCTCTATTATCACTAATCATTCTCATAATAATTAAAAACTAAAAATATTAAAATAAATTTAATCAATGATACCATCCATAAAATGAATGCATTCAATTTAAATTCATTTAAACATTTAAATTTATTAATCTCTTCGATTTCAATAAATTATTGCCACTTTAAATTGATTAATGTCATAGTTAACAAAAATAAAAAAAGAAAACAAAAACAAAAACAAAAAAAAAAAAATAAAATAAAAAGAAAAGGAAGAAGAAAAATGAAATTCTATCATTTTTCACTTACTCAGTAATCCTTCATTAAATCGAACTGTGCAATTTTTTTCATTACCATGTGAACAACAACTGCTCTTTTTCTTATGCAACGATTTTGGTAGCTGAAAAAGATTTAAAATATTATCGGAAAATTTTTTAAAAATTTCAATAAATGTTGACGTTAAACAATAAATTTTACTTGATTGAAAACAAAAATGAAAAAAAAACAAACTAAGAAATGGAAGAAAAATAATAAATGAAAAAAAGAAAGTTAAAAAATAAAGCAAATAACTAAAAGACGATGAAAGCAATTCTTAAAATTCTTTGTTTTTTTTTTTTTCTCTTTTTTATTTATTTATTTATTTTTTTTTTTGACAATAACGTATATTTCATTTTTTTTTCGTTTATTATTATTATTATTATTATTATTATTATTTTTTTGAAATAGAAAAAAAGAAAGAAAAAGAATATATTTGAAATGGAAAAAAGAGAAAAATGTATTTTAAAAAAATAAAAAAAAACGCAAAAAAAAAGAAAGAAAAAACGAAAGAAACAAAATTTGCAATAACAAATGAAAAAATTATAAGATTTCGAAGTATTAAATAATAATAATAATAATAATAATAATAATATTATTTTTATATAAAAAAATGAATACTAAAAAATGAAAGAAAATTTTTTTTTTTGTTCATAATATTTAAGTACAATATGATAAAATTACATTCTTATTAGCATATTGAGAATCTACTATTACTGAACATTTAGTCATAATTTCTTTTTTTTTTTTTGAAGCTTAATTTTCATCTCTTCTTTTCTATTTCAAATAATTTCTTTTTCTTCAATTTCAAATATATTCTTTCATTTCAGATATATTTATCCATTTCAATTATAAATATAATCATAAATCGCTGTAAAAATTACTTGAAAAAATTCATGAATTATTATTAATTTTTGTTTATTAATATTGTTTTAAGAATATTTGGAAGTAAAACATTTACCCATAATTTCAGCTAAATGATCGATAAATATTGAAATTACTGTTATTAAAGAGTAAATAAAATATTGTAAAAAAGTTTTTAAAAAATTTTTTGTTTATGATATGAAAAAAGAAAGATGTATAAAAAAATATATAAACAATTAGATGAAATATAATTAGAGAAGATGCACAGAAATTTTCATATCATATCAGTGGCTTATCATATTATCATTATATAACAATGATGCATAATAAGATAGTATATTTATAAAAGAAAATTTATACTTTTAATCTCTTCTTTACCTGTTAAATTTAATTCTCTTTTAATTACCTTCTTACCATCTTTCTTTTAAGTTTATCATATAATTATAAAATTAGCATTAACAATAATTAAAAGATTCAAATGATTTTCAAAACTCTGTAACACAATAAATGATAAATTACAAAGTTATTCATTCTAAATTAAAATTATAGGAATAAAAAAAAATCATTAATGGATGGAAGGTAAATAAAAACTATAGCAAATTAGAAAAACAAGTTATTTTTTTATTGGGAAGAATAACAAATTATATTATCAAACTTTGTTATCGAAGTAAAAGATTTATTCATAATTACAAATACAAATTATCATTGATTAAAAAAAAAAAAAAATTAACAAATTAAATAATTTATGCATTAATTGTATAAATAAATTAATTAGTCAGTTGTTATGTGGTTATATTTTAATAAAATTCAAATAGCTTTTACCATATGTTCAGATGTTGATGGTGATATGGGCTGACAATTATTCTCCTCTTCTTGTTGTTGTTGTTGTTGTTGCTGTTGTTGTTGTTGTTGTTCTTGTTGTTCTTGTTGTTGTTGTTGTTGTTGTTGTTTTTTGATTTCATATTTATCATCTAAATTTACCACCAATATTTATAATTATAGCAAAAGAATTCAAGACAAATATTCTATTTTAGTAACTTCTTTATCCAAAAAAGAAAAAAAGAATTAATTAAAACTTAAAAATTACTCGCCTAATTGATAGGTAGATGGTATATATGCAGTTGATTTTTTTCGATCAATGGGTGGATTTGAACAGCATCCTTCAAACAATGGCATTTTTCTTTTCGTACTTGATTTTATTAATTTTTATAATTTTTCCTTATTGATTTCTGAAAAAATAAAAATAAAAGGAAAGGAAAGAAAATAATAGGATAATATGTACAGAATAATTTATGAAATTAAGAAACGATTATTTCAAGGAAACAATGAAAAAAATATATTAAAAATTATATCTACAATAAAAATTTGCTATCAGAGTATATATTTAAAATAAAAAATTTCAATAAAATATATATAAACAAAACGGGAAATTTTAGTATATATATATAATATAATATAAAAAATTATATTAAAATACATATATAAAATTAAATCGTATAGTAAAGTATATATAATATAAATTGCAGTAAAGTTATTAAATGATATTAATTACACTTAAAATTTACTCTTTAATTGAATTATTAGTAATATTTTAGAAATAATTCATAATAATAAAAGGAAAAAAAAAGAAAACAGAAAGAGAGAGAGAGAGAAATGAGAAGCATATTTGAAAATGAAAAAGATTGAAACGGAAAAAGAAATGAAAAATAAAAATTGAAGAAATTTTATGAGAATGTTTTTTTTTTTTTTTTTATGAAGTTTTATAGCTTGTCAAAATAACTTTAACTATTTTTGTTTGTTGAGAAGAAAAATGTGAAAAATATGGAAAAAAAAATTTTGAAGAAATATATGGATGAAATGATAAAAATAAAATAATGAAATGAGATAAAAAATAAAATGAAATAAGAGGAAGAAGTAAGTGAAATAACAAACAGAGTAATGAAAAAGGCGGAAATAGAGTGATGTAAGCGATGAAAAATAAACATCGCACAATTGCGCATCATTTTGCATAATGAAGTAACAATGAAAAACATATTTAAACATTTTGATGCTAAAAATGCATGAAAAATAAGTAAAATGATTGTTAAATTTATTCAATAGAATAATTCTTTTGTTTGGATAAATAAAAAAATATAGGATTGGCTAATTTTAATTGAAATCTTTTCCAAATCAATAATATTTTATTCATTTAAATAATATTTAAGAAAAATTTCATACTAATTGTATGCTTATTTCTGGTTGATTGATTGATTGATAACATTGATTTATTTATTTAAAATATAACATTTTTTAAATACATTAAAATTTTTTTTTTAAAAAACAATGTGTTTAAGTATATATTTTAAAAATGCAAATGTTTTTAATTTTAAAATTTAAAAAGAAACAACGCTTTAAAAAGTTGAACAAACACGAAATAATCATTTCAAATAATTCATAAATATGATAACAATAAAAAAACAAATAAATATACCAATAAAAAAAAAATTGCAAGATAAAAAATAAAAATTTATTTATCTGATCATTTTTCGAGACAAGAAAAAGTGAAATTTATTCGGCTAATATGCATAAATAAATAATTAGATAAAATATTTGATAAGCTTATAAGAAAAAATGGGAATTACTTAGTAAAATGAATGATCTAAAGAAGCTAATAGCATTGCTTTTTAAGTGAAAAAATTTTTTCTCACTTCATTGTTAAGCAAAATCATTATTTAATTGGCTATGAAAGCGTAAAGTTGAAAAGAAAAAGTGAAAAAAAATTTTTTTTCAGATTAGAAAAAATTGATATTTCTTGCTCTTCCGTCGAGAAAAAAAAAGAGAGAAAAAGCTTTCTGTCAATGTATTTCGCAGTGAAATGATGAAAAGAAAAACAAATTTCTCGTTTTCTTTTTTCTTTTCTTTATTTTTATTTTTTAAAGTTATAAAAATTTTTTTGAAAGTTTAAAAAAAAAATGACTAAAAAAAAATCAATAATCATTTATGTTTTATTTTTAGACTGAAAATAACGAATATAAAAAAAAATTAACATTTTAGGATTTTTAAAAAAAAAAAAAAAGAAAAAAATTGTTTGTTTGATAAATAAATTAAATTTTGACAAAAAATTTGAAATAAATATAATGAATTGATGTAGCAAAATAAATAAAAGTTAATGTTATATTTAAATTAAAATTCAAAAATATTAAAATATGAAATGAACAAAAAAATCATTCATTAATGATAAAGGATGAGAAATTTTTCATCTAACCATATGGTATTGAAATTAAAAGAAAAAAAAATATCAATTCTTTAATTTCTTCTTCTATTTTCTTCCTTCTTCCTCCCTCCCTCTCCCTCCCTCTCTCCCTCTCTCCCTCCCTCTCTCCCTCTCTCTCTCTCTGTCACAACTTTCCCTCTCTTTCTCCATTGCTTAGCTTTCTTAGAGTAACTTTGATATTAGCTAAACATCTAATATACTTATAAACAGCCCAAACTGATTGACTGCTTTAGCTTTCATATTTTTATATTTATCCATGCAATATTTATAAACAAACGTTGAATTTTATTTTTTGGAAAAAATTGTAAAAAAATTTTGCTTAAATTTATTTATAAAAATTGTATAAGATAACAAGATAAATCTATTATAATATAATGAATGAACTAAACATTAAAGGAACAAATAAACAAACAAATAACAACAAATAAAACAAGTAAATAACAGGGCAAAATGAAAAATAAATAAATAAATAAATAAGTGATAAATATAGGAAATTAAATAAACAATGAAATATAAATAAAACTAAAATATTTAAAATTTCTAATATTTCATATCAAAATCAATGATTGAAAAAGTAGTAATCATTATGACTAATAATAAAACCATGAATTTGTAAAAGGACAAATGCTATTGTGTGATTTGAAAAAAAAAAGAGAGAAATATTTATAATGAATTAGAAGAAGGGAAACAAAGAGAGGGAGAGAGAGAGAAAGAGAAAGGGAAAAAAAGACAAGAAAAATCAGGTTTCAAATGAATGACAACGATGACTTCTTTTTTCTTTTTTTTTTTTTTTCATTGGAGCGTTAATTAATGAAATATGAACTATATGAGATTGTGAGGAATAAATGATACAATTAGAAGCAAAATTTTATTATGTTTAGAAATTATCTACAAAATGTTCAGAAAATTAAATTTATGCTTTTAATGTTTTATTTAATTTTATATAATTATAATTTGATTGTAAGTAATGCATGTAATTAGTAATTAAATCTTTATTGTTATGCATAAATTTTAATAATTTTCATAGTCAGAAAGATAAGAATATCCAATATAAGAATGAAAACAGCTTGCATAATCTTCAGGCGCATATGTCCCATCTTCATCTATTACTGTTGCGCCAGACTAAATGATGTCATTACTACATTATTAGTTTAGACTAATTCCTTTATGCTAATTCATTCAACATTTAATTAAACTAATTATTAGCTGTTGAAAATAATAGATTTATCAATAAATCTCATTTTGGTAAACTAAGCGAATATTAATTATAATTATAATGTGAAAAGGAACAAGTAAAAATGAATGCTTGAAACGGCAAAAGATTTTTTTTTTTTTGAAAAAAAGAAAATAATCTGAAATTTCAACGAAAATTAAAATTTACAAAAAATTGAAAAAAAAAAAAGCAAATACAAATGTTTTATAGAATATTTAACTAACAATTGAAAAAAAAAAAAAAATTCGATTGCAAGATATTGCATACCTCTATAAATATATCAGCAAAAAACGTTTCTGTTCAAAATTTTTGAATAAATGTAACTGATTCATGGAGAAAATAAAATGAAATGAAATGAAATGATTAAAATTGATAAGGAACTGTCGTTATCATTTCAACAAACCACTGATAAATTGTTGGTAACATTGTTTTCAGATAATAGTGTAACATCAGTTAACATTTCAACATTTTTCAACATTTCAATGATAAAAGGATTATCATATACTTATCTTCTATTATCAATGATATCAAAAGCTAATAATTATCATTTCGATAGTACGTCACAAAATAATCATGAATTAGCCTAGTTACTTAGTTATGCTATATTATTTATTATTATTATTATTATTATTATTATTATTATTATTACATATATATTTTATAATAATAATTATTATTAACATTATTACTAATTATAAAATTGTTATTACTCTCAATTACTACAAAATTGTTATTACTATCATCTGTGATCTGATATTTTGTCAATTACAAGACAAATTTAATTATTTCTTTTTTTTCTTTTTCCACCCAATAAAATGTAAAGTGAATGAAAAGTGAAATAAACTGAAACAGAGCGCATAACTTGTCATACTTAATAAATTTATAAATTTTAATGCAAAATTTTAAAATGAATTTTGTTCTATTTTCTTTTTCATTTCATTGCAAAATTAATGGCGAAGCATTTTTTTAGTTATGGTAAAACCACTACACTGCACTTTTTTGTAATTGAAAATTTTATTACTTTGTTTTTTGTCAGTAATTCATTTATTTAATTAAAGATGCGATAGTATAAATCAAAAAGACTTCAATTTTAATGGCTATCATTAACATTTTAATAGACTTTAACATTAGAGTTAAATAGTAAAAGTTAAGTAATAGATTGATGATTGTAATTTTTGATGATTGTAATTTGATGATTGTAATTTTTGATGATTGTAATTTCTTAATGACAAATTATATGATCCTTACAAACATTTCATTCAACTTTTTGAAATAAACTCAACTATTAGACGTTAGACATTAAATTGAAAAATATTAGAACTTTTTGAAAATAAATTATTAAATACTAGTATATGTAGCATACTGAAATTAAATTTTGGTGTAATTTATGATTATATATGCAAAAAAAAAAAAAAAAAAAAGTGCTATGACGAGATTAAATGTATCATTCGAGTAAGCATCGTATAATCATCATTATAGCTTGTTGTTAGCTAATTAACGTTGTATTGCTATATGTGAAATACTAAATTTTTCAAGTAATCATTGCCTATTATTATACTTATTATTGCTATTTGTTTGGCAAATGAAACATACAATTTGATATTTTAGAATTATACGCTTCGCAATATTTGGTTAAATATATATTAAATCTCAAAAATTATTGCTGATGTTACATTTATTAAATCATATTGAAAAAAAAAAAAGAGCTAACTAAGATTCGAAATTATATCATTTTGTTATCTTAAGCAATAAATAAATTGAATTGTTAAATAATTGATAATTTAACAATAATAATAATAATAATAATAATAATAATAATAATAATAATAATAATAATAATAATAATAATAATAATAATAATAATAATAATAATAATAATAATAATAATAGTATTAATATAGTATTAATACTAAATACAGAAAATTTACATTGACAAATGCAAGAAAATTTTATCTTATTTAATAGTTTCTTTATTTGAATGCAAATTTTTCATTTTGACTTTCATTTTAATTGCATCGCAATTTAAACTTAAATTCATCACTTTGACAATGTTTTAATTGTGTTCTTTGTCATCAATTTATATTTATTGCAATCATTTATAGTACAATGATGTAAACATGAAATTCATTTAGTAAATTTTTCGTTTCGATCCAAATTTTCATTAATTCTTTGCGTTCCCTTCAACATATTAAAAAGCATAATCTTTTTTTCTTGATTTGAATTTACCAAGCGACTAAAATGCACTTTTTTGTTCTTTAAGTTTAACTTTCATTGTTGAATCTAAGTTTGCTTCGAAATAAAAATTTAGTGAACGCTTATAGAAAAATGATTAAAATTCTGTTAGCATTCCATCCTAAAAATTTTAAATCTTTGATTATATGATTGAAAATTTGTGAAGTAATTTTCAGATTCTCTTATCACACCAATAATTGTCTATCGAAGCTTCAATAATTCTATTTTTTTTTTTTTTTTTACATTCTTTATTTTGGACATAAAAATTTACAATTCATATGCATTTTTGGCATACATATATGATTAAATTATTGGTTGGGGGGGGAATAAGATTGCCAATCTTTGGTTTGAATTGTGGACAATATTGAAAATTGAAAAAAATCCAAAAAAAAAATGTTAAAATTTAGATGTGAAAATGTAAATCAAATTTTAAATTCCAATAAAAGTTAGAATTCAAAAAAGAACTGCTGGAAATTGTATGAAATTTCTACTGAAAACAAAGCGCAATGACAAAAGTAAAGAAAGAAGGAAAGAAGAAGCAGTATAAAATCAAACTGGAAGTATCCGTGAGAAATCACGTGTCTTCGCGTGAAACACGATTAGATTGGATTGAGGTTGAGTTTATATCCGAGAGAAAACACGTGTCTTCGCGTGAAACACGATTAGATTGGATTGAGGTTGAGTGTATATCCGAGAGAAAACACGTGTCTTCGCGTGAAACACGATTAGATTGGATTGAGGTTGAGTGTATATCCGAGAGAAAACACGTGTCTTCGCGTGAAACACGATTAGATTGGATTGAGGTTGAGTGTATATCCGAGAGAAACTATTAGACGTATTGCAATTGCGCTCTTGTCATACTCTTCAAATTAGACGTCAATCAGTGGCGTAACGGGCGATGCATTCATAGTGTGGTGGGTTTAACTTGATTTATAAGTTAGGTGCTGGTGAGTTCAAGACTAAAGTGATGTGTTTGCTGAATGAAGAATAGAAGTTATCCCTGTCATAGCAATTGCTCAGATGACACAATTCCTCGTTTCTGACAGCGCTTTCTCTCCTTTTATCTGAAACATACGTGAAAAATGATTGTTACTTACTAGTTACTCACTACCCAAACACTGCACTAACTGTTCGGGTATCTTACCTGAATGCTACCCATGCATATCTTGTTTGTATCTTATCAAACAATGTGAGAAACAACGTCTTACATGTATGCAACTCTATTTAACATCATTATTTACCTCTAATAGAGTTCAAAGTTCAAAGTTCACGTATTTCATTTCACGTTTTTCCATTGATATATATGAAGAAAAGAATAAAATACTTATATGGTGAATTAGAGAAATAATGAAAATGAAGAAGCGCTAGAGATCGACATAATAACAAAAGAGTACACGATAGGTGAAAGAGACAGTTAAAGATAATGGAGCAGAATAGAAAACAATACGCAATATCTAATGTGAGACTGAATGTTTCAGTGAGAGACGGAGAGAACGAGAGCTGTTCACGATTAATTGGATGAAGGACAGAGAACTAGAAGATTTCAGTTGGGGATCCTTAACAATGGATTTTGCATTGTTTAATTTATTTAGGATTTTTGAATTAAGATTTAGCCATTTGTTTTTTTTTCTTTTTCTCACATTTATGCGTAATGCTTACTGCTAGAAATTGACGTACGATGATGTCACGTCTTATAGTTAATTGTAATTCTCGACATTAATTCTATTTTTTATATGTTTATTATAATCTTATATGTATATATGTGATAAAAAAACTTCACTGCTACATGTATGTGACAGTGTTATATATAATAAAATAATTTTCAGATAAAACGAATCTAACGAATAGTAAATCCAGCAAAATTATGGTAGAAGAGTCAAAATCTGGTCTGGAAAAACTACATTCAGTGATAAGTGATAGTGATGTTTCTAGCGAACCGTCATCAATCGTTGCCAATACTGAAATGAATCAGGTAGAATTTGTATGCTAATAGCAGATAAAAGGTTTTTTTTTCAGAAAAAAGAAGTTTTTTTTTTTTTTTTTTTGTGATATTAAACAAAAAGTTTTACTTTCCTAGATTTGACGTATGGATTTTGGAAAATTTGAAAGTTTGTTGTTAGTCGTAGGATTTTACACCAAATAAGCGTATTTCAAAGTGGAATTTTAAAAAATAATAAATCAGCATATTCAAGTATCCTTTAGGAATCTCCATATATTTCCAGGATTCAGTAACAGTAGATCGTATCTTTGGAAACGAATATTTGTTGTTTTCCAGGAAATAGCATCAGAAGAAAGCGATGATGAATGTCCAATATTAATTAACGAAAAAGCTTTGCAGGAATCTTTTGAGGTAAAGTAAATATTTTTATAGCATGACATATCCTCTACATAGTTTTATTTGTTGTAAAAACATAGTCGAATATTATTCTAAACTAATCTTACCATTAGATTTAGCTAAAATGATTGAATAACAGTTTTAAATGGCTATTATGAAAAGAAGATTTGCATTGAATCATGGTTTTTACAGAGTGAAAATTCGCATTCCGTGAACCAGTTTGGACCATCAAAGACAACAGAGAATGAACGTTGGCAAGGACGAAATCCCTTGCAAAAATTTTCGATTTTGATTGGCAGCAGTAAATTAACGTTTAAAGTTACTGATGCTCCTAAAATGCATATAGGTTAGTTTTATTTGATCAAAAAAAAAAAAAAAGTTGGTTGCCTTATTCGACCAATATAACGTAATACATGAAACGTAAAGAATTAATGCTTTTCATAATTTTAAATTATTTTCATAAATTCAGCTAACTGATTTGTACTAAAAGTATTTTTGCAGTTGATGATGTGATATATGAAAAAAATGAGAGTGAAATGGACGATTCTTTTGGTGAAAGTACCCTGTGGAGTGATTATGACATTGGTCTTGATAGACCTATCTACCGGTGCAAAATATGTGGACGCGCTTATGCTCACAAACAACCCTTATTAGCTCACGAAAAAACTCATACCAGTAAGTACTAGTATTTCTGATTGATTTTGTTTTCAAGAGAAAAAATTTGTCTACGGAGAATAAAAGCAGTGATTCAGCGAAACGTAAGTGTATATTTAAATATATCATAAATTACGCTTAGTTTCCCAAACAGTTTTATCAGACATTACATATAAAATTCTTCATTGTGATAATTCTTTATAGCTGGACGACCTTATCAGTGTCCGATATGTACAAAATGTTTCGCTCGTCAAGTGAACTTCAGTATACATATGAAACTTCATGCAAGTGGCCGTCGTTATTTTTGCTCTTTATGTGGTAAATGGTTCAGGACACAGTCGTTAATGTCTGAACATCAGGTAACAAATAAATAATTATGCAAAAGTAATGTTACGATTCAAAAATTACTGCAGTAGTTCCACAACAACAAATATTTTTTCCTTTTTTAGCGGTATGTGTTATTACAGATTTTATTCAAATATTTTACATATTTAAGTTGGTATCGATGTTAAAAATGATCGGCAAGGTTCTATTGATAAAGCTTTCATAGTTTTTAAGACTCTTTGAAAACTCTGCAAAAACAGTGATGTTGGGTTCAGTCTAAATATTTTAATGGTATGCAAGAGGGACAGGTCACTTGATTTGTCTTCTAATCTAAGTTTTATCTTATCTGACTCCTAGAGATAACTGCAATGCATTTTTTGGGAGACCAGTTAAGTATGAAAAACACTTCACTACCATTTTCACATTTATTTGATCAAATTTTAGCAAAAATGTTTTGCTTTGATGAATGGTTTACCCGTGCTAACTGATCGTCCACTAAGATATCGTTGTTATTATTGCGATAAAATGTTTCATCATCGGAGGGACAAGGTAATTATTGCTTATTGAATATATGGTTCTCTATTAATACTAAAGAAAATGAATTAAAATTTACTCGGAATTCCTTTGAAATTAAGATGGAAAATGTTGGGGGTGAGAAATTCTACTTTTTCGTTAAGAATTATATATTTTGTAGATCTGTATGCTCTATACAGTTAGAAGTAATTATTTGTTTATATTTCGGTGTATAATTTGAGACAAATATAGAAACTGATTATATTCTAAGTGCTAATATTTCATTAAGTATAAGATGGCCGAAATGGTTAGCCTCCTATGATCGATAATAATTTCAAATGTTCATCCCCTGTCGAAACTTTATAGAACATCCATGAAAGGACGCATACCGGTGAGCGCCCGTATACTTGTGGTTACTGCAGTAAGGGTTTTACGCAATCGCAAGCTCTTACAATTCATATAAGATCACATACCGGTGAAAGACCATTTAGCTGTTCAATGTGCGGCAAGGAATTTCGGGACAGGTAAATTGTTCTGTTTCCTGTCAACCGCGCAGCTGTGATGAAAGATTAAAAAGAAATGCTGTTATAATGAGGCTGAATGCATATGTTGATAAATCATGTTCGAATCTGAGCTGCATGTTTGGCTCATTATTTGTTTCATGGATATGTGAATCTTTCTCGAAACAAATCTTTTCTGATGATTTGGTTAGAAAAATTAAATTACAAATTGGATCTAATTCGGAATGTAGGATTGTGGCAAATTTCTGAAATACTTTTTTTGATCACATCAATTTTACTGCGTGCAAAACTTTTTCTAATATTTTTTTATTTGAATCAAGAAATTCCAAAAGTTGTTTGAACTATTGGTTATCGGCTCATTTTATGAGATTAAAAAGCTGCCTTAATTTTTTTCTTTTTTTGTTAAACAGATTTTTGATTCAGGAAATTTTCAGCTCAGCTTTAAGGAAGCACGAATTTACCAAGCATATCAAAGAAAACCTTCCAGATAACGACTATGATGATTCATCGAATGAAATAGCTTTAGTGACAGTACCGCATGTGAATTAATCATGACTTCCTGCTTTTTTAAATTGGCGTATTTTTTTTTCACATTTTTCCTTTATCTAAATTTTGTACAATATTTTTCAGTTTAACATATGACAGTAAAATAAGCATGAAGAGATCATTTTTACAAAACATATTGATGCTAATATTTTTTTTTCATCCCTTTATGTTTGAAGAAGTTTGGAAATCATTACTTTTATTTACGATACGGAAGGATATAAGATGGTACATTATGAAGGTCTTCTGTATCAATGCGAGAATTATGATAATTGTAATTAGCACATTTGAGTTCTCCTGTGATGTTTATTTTATTTAGGATTTACATGATATATAGAAATAATGCAGTGATAACGTTGAATAATGTTGAAATCTTTATTATCATACTACTTTGGTAGGTAAAAATCAAATTGTCATCACATAAGGCCCATTCATTAGATATAATCAATATAACACTCATTTTATGACTACTTAAATAAATAAATATATATTTTATATTTACTTATATGTTTTATATGTACTTGTGTATTAACCTTTTTGTAATTGTAACGAAAAATTATAAGCCAAATTCAAGTTAATATAACAATTATATGAGACTGCCTTATTAGATTTGTCGGTGTTTTACATTATTCGGTTTTTTTTTTTTTTTTTTTTTTTTTTTGATTTCATCAATACTTTTGCGACGTGGCCTCCAGCTATCGAAAGTTTACTAAAACCTGTGAAGTTGCTCACTAAGCTTAATTTCTTCTTTTTGCAGTTGCATATTTTTAGTCTTTCTTATATATAAAGGTTTCGATCTTCCAAAACTGTGTGATAAAAATGAAAATGTCATTAGTCGTATTGTTTCTATTCTTGACATATGTAAGCTTATTTATTATTTAAGTTACAATCTCTCTTAAAGTATACCACTCTTCAGAATTCTCATCTCTAATTCTTGTGCATA